CAGACAGGCAGGGGCGCCAGGACCTTTTTTATAGTCATCTCTGCCTGCGAGTTACAGTAAGATGACTAAATGACTGTGATTTAGAGCACTGAAGAGATAATCATTACTCAACACAAAGTCCGGTCCGTCCCATTACCCATCAGGACTCCAAAGTGAGAAGTGAAAGCAGAGGGCCCTGGAAGTCAGGGGATTTCCACATCAGGCTTTTAGAAGTCATCCTGTCACAAGAATAGAGTTGTGAGGACCATGGTACCTCCTTCTAACCATCCCGTCCACAAATGTGAATTGGGATTCTACTATGTGCCAGGCACTGGGCCAGGCACTGTGTATAATCTAGGGATCAAAATCAACCTGAAGCTTACATAGTAGGGGAGACAAATAATATACAAATAAATGAACACATACAAGTGTTGTAGGTACTCTGAAGGGAAAGAGCAAGGTGCCATGAGAATGACAGGGAGAACCTACGGTGGATTTGATGGCATCTCTGGATGATAATGTTTAACCTGAGACCTGGGGGAATTGGGGAAAGAACAGAATGAAATAGCTGTTGCAGAAAGGAGGACTGTGGATAATGTTGAAGGCCCGTTTAGTGTTGGTGATCATGACTTTGTAGGGACACCCGTCTCTCCAGCTGTGTGGTGTTTCTTCCCCCAGCAATACTCAGCTCCATGGGGTAGACATGGAAAAGGCATATCTATGAGAACGTTCGTCATGACTGGGGTTTTGCTGGAATACTGCAGTGGAGGAAAAGAGGAACCATGGGCTTGAGGGCATTTACGACGGAGATTCTATAATTATAAGCTAAGCCGCATGAGGAGAAGAGTGAAAAAAGGAGGAGGTTCTTGAACAGATATGAAGTCAACTGATCATTTGGTTTCTCTCCCTCTCATCTGCTCCATAGCACCTTGTCCTTACGCCGACAGTAGCACTTTTTACACTGTAGTATGGCCACCTGGCCATTAACTTGAGTTCCCCAGTATACTGTGAACTTCACAAGGATGAAGACTCTGTGTATAGTTCACTGCTGTATCCCTAGCATTTAACATGGTGCCTGAGTTGGTACTCAGTAAAAGTTTGTGGAATGGAGGAAAATTGAAAGTTTTATTATCCATTTGGTCTATACCCATTGATTCCCTTGTGGGCTGATGGTGGGGGTTTATGAGAATCATCTGAGCAGTAAACAAATCCCAAAAGTGGATTTGGCTGGATAAGAAAGACTTGGAGAGGTTTGGGAAAGGGTGGTAGTTGAGGAAGCAGTTTATTTATCTGGCATCTGCTTTCCAACCTCACTTTGTCTTTCAGGCTGCCCAGAAGGGAAGAAAATGGAATTCATCACCAGCTTACTGGATGCTCTCACCACTGACATGGTTCAGGCCATTAACTCAGCAGCGCCCACTGGAGGTGGGAGGTGAGAATGTGAGCAGGACACTGGCCCAGTAGGGAATGTGGGGCTCTTGGCTTTTTAGGGGGTCCTTGGGTGGTACAAGTGGTGAACACGCTCAGCTGCTAACAGAAAGGTTGGAGGCTCAAGTCCACTCA